GTGTGTTCTGTGAAGTATCAGTTTACAAGGAAAAATATTTGGCAATTAAATTAAATATGTACATTTGGAAAATTTCAAATTAAATTCACATCCCATAACATGGCCCTTAGAATGTATTGTGAACATTACCATTAACGTGTTAAAGGCTCTGCAAAGTTTGTAATAAATCAAGTTAAATTTAAATTTGTTTAACTTGGCATTTCTAAAATTGAAGTAATCAAGAAATCTGGGTGGGTTTTGGGGGGAGAGAAGGGGTGTTTTTATTTACAAAACACCAATATCATCCTGAAAAACAAGTGGATTATAAAACAAGCGTGGCTGGTTTTTCCGATTCTGTCATTGGATGTAAATTTGAAAAATATTCGGTGATTTTTCAAGACCTATTGCTTGGTCCTTTTGTTTGAGTGCAGCCTGGTCAAGCGCTATCCTAACCCCCTTACATAGAGTTGTACTAGTTACCCGTAAAGAGATTGGATTAGCAGGTTTCTGGGTGGAACCAGGTTCTCTGGGACTTACAAAGGCTGCTGCCCCGGGAGGGAAAGAGAATCCCAGTGTCCTGGTCAGGGCCACTCCGCCACGTCTGGGTACCGAACAGAAGACAGATTAGAGTGTCCTGTATATGTTTAAAAATAACAGGGACCCTGGATACAACCCAGAGGCTGTCAACAGGTAAATGGAAAAATAAACTGTGGTATATCCACCTCCAGGGAATGAACCCTAGAGACTAAAGGGACTCGGACTAGATTGTACGGACAACTAATGACAGAGCTAAGACTGGAGTTCAGGCCTCTGCTTCAGATCTAGGGTAACTCCTAAGGCACCAATATGTCTCCAATGAGTACCCGTTTGGCTCCACGCTGAGGGTAGGAAAAGGGATGATTTTGTTTCTGGAAGCTTCCTGTGCTGGATAAGGCTTATCATAATAATGGCCAGTAGAGTCTGGGCTTTAGGGGCATGATCTCAAAAACCTGTGACAATAGTCGACATTCTCGAAGGGCTTACTACGGGCCAGCAACTGCTCTTAGCATGTAAACAAGGATTCACTTCTTCAGTCCTCCCAACAAGCGAGGTTTGAGAGCTGGGAGTGAAAATGGCACTTTGGACAACCCCCACGCCCACCGAATGCCTATGAGTAATTTAAGGCTCCAGTGGAATGTGACAAGGTCCACCTAGGCCGGGAATGGGATAACCACAAAGGACAGCTGTCTATCCAAAACCCAGCCGCTAGCCAATTAGCTGGGCACCTCCCAGAGCTGAATCTTTGGATGTACCCACAGATGGAGACAAGGATGGCCAATTAGCCATCCCAGCTCACTGCTGTGGTTTCTGGCCAGAAGAGCCGGCAGATGTGTGTCGGCAGCTGTGCCGGTCAGGGTGCAGATGTGGGACAAGTCTCTCTGGCAGGCTGCTATTCCGAGACAAGGAGGGACCGAGAGGAGAAGAGCCGCTTCGGCCATCTGTGCGAACGGCTCTGATTCTAAGGACTGCTGGTCGGATCCCAGTCCTCATTACAGGCCGGAGGTCTGTGGGTGGTAATTAACCATCATTTAAAGCCAAGGAAAGGTCTTGGTGGGACACACCGACACAGAGAGGAGGTGCAGAAGGAGGGGACGGCCATCTCTTCTGGGCCTGTGGAGACAGAAAGTGCTAGGGATGCCACCGGGGGGTGGGAGGGGGGCGCGGGTGGCCAAGGAGGGGATGGCATCAAAGGGGAACTGGAATTTCCTTTGCCCCTGCCGCTCCCTTGGTAATGATAGTTCTTACTCAGGGAAAGGCAGATGTGAGGATTTAGGCTCTGGCCAGGATGTATTTCGAGGTCACACCCTGGGTTGCTGGACCAGGTATTTAGAGGCGTGCGAACAGTCTGCTGCTTCTGTGGACTTGGCGAGTGCGGAGGCCAGCAGGGCTCCTCTGGTTTGTTAGGAGACTAAGGAAGCAGCAAAGAGGGGCGGGCCAGGGCCTGGAGGCCGGAGGCCCGGGACGCTCTGCCACTGCTTGGCTACATGCCTGGGTGAACCCCTTAACCTCACTGTGTCTGAGAGCCCTCGTTTCTCAAGAAGGATGGCGCTACATGCCTGTCCTTCTCCTTGGGCTATTGTGAGACACAAATAGGACAAGATACACAGAAGCATTCAGAAAAGTGCTATTTTTTTTTTTAAGTAAGAGTATGTTTTTTACTATATTTTATTGACTTTAGAGAGAAAGGGAGAGAGAGAGAGATGGAAACATCAGTAGTGAGAGAGGATCATTGGTCTGCTGCCTCCTGTATGCCCCACACTGGGAATGGAGCCCATAATCTGGGCATGTGCAGTGACAGGGAATCAAAACGGTGACCTCTTGACTCATAGGTCGATGCTCAACCACTACCACACCAGCTGGGCTGAAAAGTGCTATTTTGGTAGTAGGGACAGAAAGTGCTGATGACTAAGAGCCAAGGGGAGCCACTCAGCCACCAAGCATCTACGAGAAACTAGGAAAGTCGTCATAAAACTCTAATAGTGCCCTCAGCCCTGAGTCATGAAGTTTTTTGCACATCTAACCAACGTGATGGCCCCTTGACCCCATGGCCCCGTAAAAATGCCCAAGAAAGCAATAATGTTTGCTCATGGCCTCAGGAGCTTCTAGCCCCTTGAGGTCTACGTGTGCCCCCACCCCCAAAGCCCTAGGCCCCCAGTGGAAGTTCCTGCCCCAGGAACAGGAGCTGGGCAGCAACGGCCAGACCCTGGTTACATACCTCCATGTCAATGCGGACCATGCCAGGCAGATGCAAAATGAGGAAATCTATTCTTTCCTATGCTTACCGGGGCCCTATGAAAGTCCTACTGCACATGGTCTGTTTCTCCAGCAGTATTGAAGAGTAACCTGCAGCCCTTCCCTAAACATCTTCTGAGCTGCGCCTCTCCAGGTCACCCGTCCCTGTGTTCCCAGCTCCTCCCTGGCTTTCAGAAAGTCATCAGAATCCCTAGCACAGAGAGCCACCCCTGCTGTGCTCAGCGCAGCCAAGGATTGATTTCCTTTTTATATCTTTGCTGCCACTTCAGGGGGCGTTGGGAGGCAGGGGAGGCAAACGTGTGAACTCAGGCTTGAGCCAGAAGCGCCTCGTTTTTTTGAGATTATGTAAACCTCCACCAGCTCCACCAGTTGGGAGGTGACTCTTTGGTTGCTTGTTGGGCCGCCCACCTCCTTGTCACTCCATAGCCCCTGAATGCCAGCGTCCACGCACAGCGCCATCCCCGCCATCCTGAGCCAGGGTGCAGCAGGGTGTGGTGGCAGCAGCCAGGTCTCAGTTGATTCACCTTGAGCAGAAGAGGCTCAACACCGCAGGGACCGTTCCCAGCAGTGAGCACGTCCCCTGTGGCTGAGGTGACTGGTTGACTAGTGCCCTCTCCTGGGAGACTGTGCGGCCTCTGGTCTCTGGGTGGGCGCTCATTTCATGCCCAGGTCTGTGGGCTTGCACCCTGGAGGCAGCACAGCCAAAGGTCCAGAAAGCAGGCCCTGGAGGGGCCCACTAGCTGTGTGACATTGAACAACTTGCCTAACCTTTCTGTGCCTCAGCACCACCCACTGTGAAAGAGGGACAACGGTAATACTCACTTCATATGGCTGGAATAAAAATTAAATGGCTTAATACATATGAAGAGTTTAGAACCATGTCTAGTAAGGGTAATAAGACACCAAAGCAGAACCAATAGGGTGTGTGTGTGTGTGTGTGTGTGTGTGTGTGTGTGTGTGAAGGAATTGGCTCACGTGGTTATGAGGGCTGGCAAATCTGAATGCTACAGAAACTGGGGGGCGGGAGGGGGGATGAGAGCTGAGGGAAAGTTTGCTCAGCTGTCTATCATCTGCCTCCCCTCCTCCTCCATTCCCAGGCCACACATGCTGGAGCTGGGCAGTGTGCTGGCCACAGGTGTGGTGCTGCCCACAGGGCAATCCCTCAGCCCTCGCCCATCGCTCGTGCCCTCCTTAGTGCCAGGTAACATCACACAGTCCCATTCCGATCTGTACGTGGGACAGAATTACTTTACGAATGTGAGAGGGAGAGGCTGGATGGTGGGAAGTGGGGAGATGCTGGCATCATAGCTCCTGGGTTTGCTTCCTGGTTCTGCTCCCTAATAGCTCAGAACCTAAGGCAAGACACTTCACTTCTCTGGGCCTTTGTTTTTTCATCTGTAAAATGGTGCCACTAATAGTACCTGTCTCAGGAAATTCTTATAAAGAATGTATGGGATAGCCGAAACCGGTTTAGCTCAGTGGATAGAGCATTGGTCTGCGGACTGAAGGGTCCCAGGTTCAATTCCAGTCAAGGGCATGTACATTGGTTGTGGGCACATCCCCTGTAGGGGGTGTGCAGGAGGCAGCTGGTCGATTTCCTCTCTTGTCGATGTTTCTAGCTCTCTATCCCTCTCCCTTACTCTCTGTAAAAAATCAATTAAAAAAAAAAAGAATGTATGGGATACTTTGCACTCTTTTATACTCTGGCTGGTTTATCTAATTCAACTTTTTAAAAATCAGTCCACCTCCCCTTGTTCACAGAAGCTGCCTCTCTGCAGAACATGAGGGGCCCTAAGCACACTGTGAAATGCCAGCATTCCCAGGAGGCCCACTCCAAGTTGTTATCACCTTAGTGTTAGTGATGTGAATGGTTTGCCACCTTTTTTAAAACTGAACTCTGGTGAGAAAGGAGCCGCAGATTGATTGGGGTGGGGGAGGGACAGGCTTCATGCCTGGGATTCTGGCAGCCCCATCTCAGAAACAAAGGTGCCCCTCCCCCCACCCCCCTTCCCGATATCAGGAGCAAGGCTGAGGTTCAGGGCTGAGGATCAGGCAGTACAGTGGACGGTACTGCTCCCAACCCTCTGTGTCTGCGTTCTCACTCCCCCGGGGAAGAGGGCTGAGTAGAGCTCCTGACCTCAGACTGGCTCTGCCTGGGGCCTGGGTGACCAGGCAGCAAGAGAAGGAGAGATCACTGCAAAGGCCCTAGCAGTTGCCCAGGTAGGGCATGTTAGGTCGAGGCTGGGGGAAAGCCTAGAGCTGATACAAGCATCTGCAAGGTGGATGGTGACAAAGATAGCTGACTAGCTGGCGCCTTCCTAGGGCCTTCCTAGACCCTTAGCCCTAGGCAGGAATTCCACATCTCTCATGCCCTCCGCCCTCCCCTCACTAAACAGCTGTATAAAAGAAGTACCTAGGCCACCTTTTGGCGCGAACTTCCCTGGCCCACCCTCGGACCAGTGAGCTTCACCCGGTAGCGCAGATTAAAACCTCCTCCCTTTTAATCGCCAGGATTCCGTGTCTTGCTTCTGCGTGGCAAACCTCTCAGCTGGGACTTTACAGGGCAAGCCATGGACTGTCATTCATTCATTCATTCATTCATTCATTCCCTCACTCAGCACAGATGGTGAGTGAGCCCCTACTTTGTGTCAGAGGTGAATGCCAGTCCCAAACCTCAGCCAATGGCTGCTCTGATGCTCCTTTACCCCCGGCAGCCTCACAGGCCCCTGATGGCCGGAGGGATGTTTAACCCAGGCCTTGAGCACCCAGGACCAGTACAGTCAAGCAAACGACAGAGAAGGAGCCAGAAAACCCGCTGACAACTGTGCAGTGCCTTCCTTCAAGGAAGAGAGGCCAGGGCTAAATATGGGATCCCTCCCCTTCCCTGCTTCTTAGAGAGACTATAAACAGAAGAGGCTGTTGTTCTTCTTAATTAAGCCCTCTAAGTTTAGACCTGCATTTCTGGGCAACTTATCTAGGGAACTGTGGGCCAAACACAGTACAAGAAGGAAAAGACAGAGGATGCCATCTTTTGGTTATTCATCTCACATTTTCAAGGACCCACCTCACACCCGTCAGAATGGCTGTCATCAACAAATCAACAAGCGGCACGTGCTAGCGAGGATGTGGAGAAAAAGGAACCCTCGTGCACTGCTGGTGGGAATGCAGACTGGTGCAGCCACTGTGGAGAACAGTATGGAGTTTCCTCAAAAAAAAAATTAAAAAAAAAAATGGAACTCCCATTTGACCCAGTGATCCCACTTCTAGGAACATATCCTAAGAAATCAGATACACCAATCAGAAAGAATTTATGCACCCCTATGTTCATAGCACATTTACCATTTACATGATGGAATACTACAGAGCTGGGGGAAAAAATTTTAATTAAATTAAAAATTAAAAAAAGAAAGAAAGAACTCTTACCATTTGCAATAGCATGGATGGGCCTGGAGAGCATTATGCTAAGTGAAATAAGCCAGTCAGAGAAAGATAAGTATCACATGATCTCACTCATATGTGGAATCTAATGAACAAAATAAACAGATGGACAAAATAGATCCAGAAACATATAAGCATGGAACAGACTTTTGAACTTCAGAGGGAAGGCAGGGGGGAGGGCGGGTGGGTGGGAAGAGATCATCCAAAGAATTTGTATGCACATATACATAACCCATGGACACAGTCCACACAATGGTGAAGGCCTGGGGTGGGGGGGGGGGTGTGCAGCTCCGTGTCTCATCAGGGCCAGCCAACAGCCTCCCCCCACCCTCAGGCCCAGGCCCTGGCTCCCGGCCCCTCTCCTCAGATGTGCTGCATCTTGTCTCCATCAAGAAGCCCTACCCTTCTGCAGAGGTTCCCACCCACCCATTAGTGGTACCAATCCTTCCAGTATCCCCACCAAATAGTCTCTCTTATTCAAGAAATGCACCAAACCAAAAAGCCACCGTGAATTCCGTGATGCTTTGAAACAAATCCACATTTTGATCATCGCAACAGCATGTATGTGCGTTTGAAAAACAGTGTCACAGGGAAACAGGATGTATTCACTCTGACGAAAGCACGGACTGTGCCCGTGAATTAGAGAAACGGGGAAATGATTCACCTTGAAGTTGCCAGCGTTGGGCCTGGCTGAGAACACTGCTTCCCATCCCACCATCTCTCCCACCCGCTGAACCCATAGAGGGGAGGGATCTCGAAAGATAACAGTGGCTTTCCTTTTTCCCCTGCTTTACTCCAAGCTGGAATTCCACCCCCAGCACCGGCAGTGTTGTCCAACCTTATCCTCCCAAGGCCCGTGAGCAAATAACACAATGGTACATTTACCTGCATTCCCTCATTTAATCTTCAGATGGGGGGGGGGGGTTAAATGATTGTCATTGTTCTCAAAACTCGGTGGCTCAAGGCTTAAGCAGCTTGCTTAAGGTTGCTGAGCTAGGGAGAAAGATTCAAACTCAGATCCAATTGGTTCTCTACCCCACAGCCCCCCTGCCTGCCTGCGCTCCTCCTTGCCTGTAGCCACCTCCCTGACAGCCCGGGATGGGAGTCTCCTGAAAGCGCAGGACAGGTGCCCGGTTGGGTTGCACAGGCAGAAGCCCCCGTGCTGCCTTCCTGTCCACACGGCCTCGCTCTCCAGCCCATTTGGTTCCTGAGGCACCACACCAGCGTGAAGTGACAACCCTGTTGGCGATGGGGACTTCTTGTTCTGCTCTCCACTTCCTGTCCCAAGAGGTTCAGAAGAGGCACAGGAGCAGCCTCCCTGTGGAGGGAAAGACAGTCTCAGGAAGCAAAGGCTCAGGGGAGCAACCTCAGGAGGGGAGTAGCTGCAAAGAGCAGCATGCCCATCTCAGCCAGAGGCTTCTCTGGACCATACGCTCTGGAGCACTCACTCCCTAAAGCCGGGGGCCCAGACACAGGTCAAGGGGACTGCTTCCTTTGTTCTCTCTGGGCACCGTCTTTCCTTCCAAGAAATGCCTTCCAAATGGCCCTCTCACTTCCAGTTGCTATCCCACCCCGGTGTCCTGGTGTCCAGCATCTGGGATCTCAAGCCATCCGGCCTGTAAGGACCCCTCTCCACCTCACCCCACCCCACCCCACCCCACCCCACAAAGACTTCAGCAACAGACCGGCTGCCACACTCTGGCGTTAAATCTTGAGTGCTCTCCAGGCACCCGGCTTAATTGCCAAACAAACAGCTCCTCACAAAGAGGTGTCTCTTTCTCCCCCCACCCCACCCCCATATGACTAAGGTGGAAATGGAGTTTACACCTCTAGGCGGAAAGGCTGTGGCCCATCTGGTCCTTCTCTCCCCAACTCCCCCCACCTCCTGCCACCTTCTATACTAAACAATGTCTCAGGCAGGATGGCTGGGCAGAGGCCTCTAGAGATCCCTCCCCAGATTATCGGGAGTGAGAACCCTGCCCCATTCAAGGGCCGACAGGGCCATCTGTGCCTGAGCTCCAGGAATAAGGGGGGCCGTACCTCTGCCTCCAGGGGCCTCCAAGCTGTGAGGAAGCTCTGCCAGGCACTAACCCCACACACACTTCCTTCAAAGCACCCACCCTTCTCACACCAAACACCACCCGGCAATTCTGCTAATACCCCCCTCCCCCCAGCTCCCCCCTGAACCTGAGAGCATGCCAAGCCAATCTGGTTTCCTGCAATCCGCACCGGGAAAGCAAATGCATTAGCGCAGGAAGGAGGTTTTTGGCTGCTGATTGGACAGCTGCTGGTACATCCAGGCAATTCAGGCTGGTGACACAGGAGGGATGAAAAGGAAGGGTAAGGACCAGAAGCTAGGAGTAAGCCTCCCGTCTCCCCCTCGGACAAAGGAGTGTCCGCTGATACTGAGAACGTGGAGCAGAGAAGAGGAATGCCACAATGTCACTGACAGCTTCACCTTCCATTAAACTCTAGGGTAAAAAGAGATCATAGAGAGAGTGAGAACCCTTTAGTCACTAACGTTTAGTGCAAGCCTTTCACGGATGAGAGAACTGGTGCTCAGGAACTCGGATGACAGATTCAGGACAAGAAGCCATTTCTCCTGACCCAGCCAGTGCTCCCTGCCCTCACCCTCTGTTGTCATCACCACACAGCCCCTTCTGCATGAGTCCTCCACCCTATAGTCCCATGTATCTGGGTCCCTGGGCCTGAAATCTTCTGCAGCACAGAGAAGAAGGGATCTGGGATGGGAGATGTGTGGGAGGCGGTCCTGGGGATGATGTTCAAGGGCTCCCCATCTATATGGAGAGCAAGCACCCCTAAAGGCCCTCCCTTCCTCCTGCAGCAAGTGGACTTGGAGTCCCCCTGTGGGAAAAGCCATGGGGTCCAGACCTCCATGCTGACACTCACCAGCTCAGCAGCGTGATATAGACCTTCTCCCCTTCGATCTCCTGACTCCATAGGTAAGACACGTACAGGAACACCATCTTTAGTGCCATTGAATGAGGTATCTAGGGTTGTTTTTTATTATTATTATTATTATTATTATTGTCAATGAGCAGGGGACTTAATTATTTTTGTCAATCAGCAAGGACTTTTATTTTTTCTATCTCTATTGCTGAGAGTATTACAGATGTCCCGCCCCGCCCTAGGCCTTCACCACCCTATTGCCTGTGTCCATGGGCAATGTGTATGTGCCTATACGTTTTTCGGTTAATCTCTTCTCATTCTCCCCTCTCTCCTTCCCTCTGAGATTCCTCAGTCTACTTTGGAATGGTTCTATAATCCATGCCACTGGTTCTATTCCATTCATCAGTTTATTTTGTTCATTAGACTCCACATATAAGTGAGGTCATGCACTATTTGCCTTTCTCTGACTGGCCTATTCCACTTTGTATAATAATCTCCAGGTCCTCCCCTATTGTCTCCCCTGCATAGTATTCTGTTATGTAAATGAGCTATTTGTTTTAAAAAATACTGCCTTGATCGCTGTGAGTTGGACTTGTCCTTTACACAAGGCTTACGAATGGAGGGCTGTCAAGAGTTTTCTATTACCCTAGAGACACAGACTTGCTATCCCAAACACAGAGGAAAGCCTGTAGAATTGAAGGTAAATGACGCAGATTCTTTGAGATTGGGACCCTCCCGGGATGTAAACTTGCTTCCCTGGCTCTCTTTATGGATGGATCCTATGCCCATCCTTGCCTTGGTGCCTGCGATCCCCTGAAATGCTCTCCCTCCCACCTGCTCAAATGGACCTGTCTCTGTAGTGAAGACGGCCTCCCAGCACACTCTAACCCTCATCCACATTCCCCTTCTCTCTAACCTCTCACTGGATTCAGCATCTCATTTTTTTATCTTATCTTTTAATAAGAGTGTAAGTTCCAAGCTTTGGCGAGTTTAACTCAGTGGATAGCGCATCAGTCCTCAAACTGAAGATCTAGAGTTCAGTTCTGGACAAGGGCACATACCTCGGCTGCAGGCTCGATGCCCTGCCCCAGTCAGGGTGTGGTGCAGGAGGCAGCCAACCAATGTGTCTCCCATCGATGTTTCTATCTCTGTCTCTCCTCTCCCTTCCACTCTCTCTAAAAAGAAATCAATGGAAAATATATCCTCAGGTGAGGCTTAACAACAACGATGAAAATTGTAAGTCCCTTGAGGGCAGAAAAAATCAAATCTTGTTAACTTTTTTATTGATTTTAGAGAGAAAGGGAGAGGGCAAAAGAGATTGATTGTTGATGTACAACAATTTCAACAAAAATGAGAGAAAATCATTGATCGGCTGCCTCCTGCACACCCCTGCTGGGTATCGAGCCTGCAACCCGTGCATATACCCTTGATCAGGATCCTTCTGGCTCATAGGTCAACATTCAACCACTGAGCCATACCAGCCGGGTATATCCTGCTCATTTTTAAATCTCCTTTGTGGTGGTCTAATGTGAAGTCAAGTGTGTGTATTAACCAAGGGAGGAGAGGTCTCAGTTTGCATAAGACCATTTTTCTGCACGCTCCCTCACCCTAACTTTCCTATTCCAGATTCTTCTCTATATAGGCAAAAAGAAGCTATAGCCCCAAGGAGGTGGCTATGAAAGAGAGCTTATCTATTTGTTTAACAATCTGAGGTTCCCTGTGCTTGTTCATTCATTTCTTCATTCATTAAAAAGAGACAGTACCTATATCTGCACATATCGTTCATGCTGGGGGACTCTAGATAGAGACAGGCAAAGGCCTGGGAGACTTCACCGGACCTTGAGCCAGCAAATGCTTTGGAGTTAGTTACATCAATAGAAGTGCTGGCTGCTTTTTGTGCATCAGTGATTCAAAGAGCTTTACCTGTATTTACCCATATAAACCTTACAACAGCCTTGAAAGTAGGGGCTGTCACTATCCCACTTTGCAGATAATGAGATGGAGGCACAGAGATGCTGAGTCACTCGCCCAAGGTCTCAGGCTAGAAACCTACACAGCCGGGTGGAAGCCAGGCTGTCTGGCTCAGAGCCCAGGGGCTGGAGCATCCACTGCCTGGCCCCTCAGGTCAGTCTCAGGGCACTGAGAGTGGAAGCACGCAAGGAAGGGCATGATGCCACTGAGAGACTTCAGAGCCCTGGCGAGGTGGGGCGACTGAAGAGTCAGAGACTCCCCCTCTAGCTGCTGTGAGCCCCTACTTCAAGGACATCCTGAGCCACTCCTGTGGGCTGCCACTTGGAGCTCAGCTAACACAGGGCTTCCTAGAGGCAGCTGGCTTTCCTGTCGGCCTAAGATTAGCCAGGCTCCAAACAGGCATCTCTGCTCCCAAACCTGTCCTTTCCATTTCTGTGCAATTCTGCCCTGCTCTGATCTTGTAAAAACCCCAAAGATCCCCCCCACTTTTAGATCACCTAGCAACAACCACACTAGACTGTGTCTTCTTCCTGTGGGTGTTTAATAGCGATGCAAAGGAAGAAGCCCCCAGAGGATGGGAACGATTATTAGAAGATGCTGAAGAAGAGTAGATCCTCATAGTATTGGTTGTTGAGAAAACTAGGGTTACAGGCAAGGGGTCCACCACCCTTTGGGCAGATAGGGAGCCATAACCCTGGTGGGTATCCTTAAAGAGAGAAAGGAGAGAATCTCAGAGCTTCAGTGCTATGTGCCCGTGGCGATGGCTGACATGGCCCAAATAGGCATTCGGAACAAGAGTTCCTAGAGGTACCATTGTAAGGCCTGAAAGACCCCCGGTCCAAAGGATGAGCGGCGACCCCAAATCAAACGCAGAGCCCGAGTCTTGATGCAAAGAGCAGGAGGTTTATTCCAAGCGCTGCGCAGGGACCCACAAGCAGCAGTCCAGAAAAAGACTGCCGCTTGAGAGCCCTGAACAGAGGTTAGTTACAAGCTTTTATAGGCAGAAACCACACCCAGGTGGCCTGGGGAAATTGGCAAATTGGCCTGGGGAAATGCAAACATAAGGTTGAGATTGCAATCTCTTGGCCGTTTCCCGGGCAGTTAGAAACAGGCCTGACCTTACATTCCCTCCTCTTCTCAGGACTGAGTTTCAACCCTGGAACTCATATTCTGTTTCCCCTTGCCCAGTTACGATACAGGGCCAGAGGGTTAGAAGTAATCAAAGGCCCCATGAGGTGGAGATTAGGGTGGTGAGCCACGGGGAACGATTAAACCAATTTTCAAACCACCCCTGTTGAGCTTCTCTATCTCTTTGCCTCCTGTCTAGTCTCTCTCTCAGTTTGGCCATAGAGTCCTTCACCATGCCTGAATGATCTATAAAAACAACACTCCTCTTTCAAAGCTGCACACAGGCCACCGTCCTTACTACCTCAGACAGCGAGGTCAGGGATAGTGATGGATTGTTCAATGGCTCGTATTGCCACTCTGAGCCCTTCTATACTGTGGGGTTTGGATTAAAGCTGCTGTCCCAGTCCCCACCCCGGCGGTTACCCCTAGCCCCAGCAAGACAGCTAGGGTTATTGAAACCAGCTCTTACAAAAGAAAACCTCAGCCCCTCCACACCGCCGGGCCTCACTCCTTGTTCTCCCATAAAAGGGGAACTGATTGGGCGGGGCATCATCAAGACCCGCCGCGAGTAGGAGTCAGTGGCAGCCACCATCCCCAAAGAGTGTCTATCACAGTCCATCCATCGTCAGGCGGTGGTGCAGGTTTGGCATGAGAGGCATGGATCCAGGAGGCGATGCCGTCTACCTTGATGGCGGTGGGTGTCCCTTCCACCGGGGTTCCAAGTTGGCTGTAGACAAAGTCCCCAACCTGGAACTGGTGTGGTCAGCCAAAGGGACCCACACGTCCTTTTGGACCGTCTCCAACGCCTTCAACCTAGCGAGCAGGGATTGAGGGGCGTGAGTTTCTGTCCACGGGTCAACAGTGAGTGGTGGTGGGGCCCCGAAAAGGATTTCAAAAGGGGTTACTCCCAGGGGCCCGGGCATATTCCGGGCACGGAATAGGGCAAAGGGAAGGAGGACTGTCCAGTCTGTCACGCCAGTTTCTAAGGATAATTTAGTCATAGCCTCTTTTAACGTTCTATTCATCCTTTCTACCTGTCCTGAACTTTGGGGTCTACATGAACAATGCAATTTTCAATTAATCCCCAGCACCTTGGCAATTCCCTGACTTACCTGGGCGATGAATGCCAGCCCATTATCTGAACCAATTACCTCTGGAACTCCAAACCGGGGAAAGATGTCTTCAATCTTGGCTACTGTGGTTGCCGTTTCGCTAAAGACTACAGGGCCGGCTTGACTTCCTTCCGTAAAGTCAACTTCCCAATAGCTGCCCGGCCTATTTCCCCTTTCCCTTTCGAGGGGTGGGAATTTCATGCCTTGCAGCATGCCTTGCAGCTAGCGACAGTTCTCTCGGCTAGGGAGGTGAGCTTTCGGATTTTGGACCCAGATGGGTGAGGCGGTGTTGCCATTTCTTCAGGGACGATTATCTTCTCACCTGCCTTATCCTTTCAGACCCCGTACTTCTGGCCATCTCCCCCTCCTCTTCTGGGGAGTAAGAGAAGGACTTAGGAGGGTCCAAAGAGACTTTTGCTAGCAGCAGGATGTTTAGTCCCAAGGCAGCCTGTTTTGCTTCAACATCTGCCTTCCTGTTCCCTTCCGCCACCTCAGACGTCCCCTTTTGGTGCCCTGGGCAACTTCTTTGGGGGCATGTATGGCCTCTGCTGTCAGTGTAGATGTTGACTCTTCAGCCAACCTGAGGGCTTGTGTTCTGCCTTCTGTGCTGAGGTGCCTTCTGGCAGACTGCTAGACCAGATTACCTCATCCGTGCTGACTACCGCGGTTCCTGCCCTCCTCTTCCTGTCCGAGAGGTAGCTGCTGCCATCTGTGAACCAAGTGAGGGGGGACCCGGGTAGGGGTGTGTCTCTGAGATCCCGCCTGGCCCCCGTTTCTTCAGCCAATATCTTCTGACAGGAATGCAGAATCTCTCTCTTTTCCAAGTCTGCTTCTGGTAGCAGAGAGGCAGGATTCAATGTCACGGGGGCCCCGAATTGGACTCTCCCCTCGTCCAACAAGAGACTTTGGTCACAAGGAAAGAGTGGGTGACCGTCCCAGTCCCAAGATCTACAGTCCGGTTAGTCATCCACGGGTATTGCTCATTACCGGTGGCCCCAATGACCCAAGAAGTTTTCTTAGATATCGGCCCCAAGGGAGCTTTTATTGTGCTCCTGTGTCCACCAGAAATTCTACTGGTTTCCCCTCCACTTGGATGGTTACCCTGGGCTCAGGGAGGGGTTCCGAGCCCCGTCCCCCTCAGTCACTGTCCTCATGAAAGGCCAAAATGGTCTTGGCTTCCTTCTCCTTCCTCTGCCTTCTTGGGCATTCTCTCTTCCAGTGTCCTTTTTCTTTACAGTAGGCACATTGATCTCGGTCGAGTGGGAGGCGATCGCCCAGGTTCTACCCTTACCTCTCCCTTATCACCTACCACTGCTGCCAAGATGCGCGTGAGATTCTTCTCCTGTCTACACCTTCTCTGCCTCCTTAACTAAGTCCTGCAAAGTATAAAGCAGATTGGCCAATAAAGGCCATAGCCACCGAAGCCCGCTGCCCCTCGGTCGCAGGGTACCGCCTGAATGCTTCCATTAGTCGCTCAAGAAAGACCGAGGGAGGCTCCGTGGGTCCCTGAAGGACATCCCTTACCTTAGCCAAATTGGTGGGCCGACGCGCGGCTCCTCTGAGGCCGGCCACTAGAATCTGGAGATAGATTGTCAGTCGCTCCCTACCTTCTCATCACATGTATAATTTTTATAAAAATTTTTACTATTTTACATTAGCTCTTAAACCTTCTTCCTATGTCCTTCAAAAATCTATAACCATTATTTTAGAATATTTAGGAAAGGCAGAGGGAAGAGAGAGCAGGTCTAGCACTCTGTTCCCAATAGCCGCTTGAATTTTAAACTGCCACATTCTTCCTACAGATAAAGATCTCAGATTCTGATAAGACTGAAAAGGGGCACAGGAGAATTTTAACTGTGTCTTTAAATCCCCTAATAGAACACGGTGAAAAGTGTCCAAGCAGTTATGGGGGGTTAAACCATGTTTTCACATTGTTTTAACATAATTCTAAATAAATTATAAACCTTTGTGATGAAGTCTACTTAAACCTATAAAGTAGATACACATGACTGAAATCAAAAATGATTCCCAAAGTTTAAACAACCGAATGTACAAAATACAAGATGCAGGTACAAGCCCAAATTAACAATGGCATATGAAAAAAGCAAAACAAAACAAATCAAATGCAAAAGTTTCATGTTACATTAAACATTACTTCAGAAAACCCGACTTAGAATAATTTCTTAAGTGTAAGCATTACATACTTCATCTGACAAATGAGAATCATTACTGCTTATTCTAAACACATATAATACAGTTTAGCCTGCCATATTCTAGGCATCTAGTTACTGCAATTAACTTTTCCTAATTCAATTTATACTTTGAACTTTTAAAGCTGGCAAGTTCAAACAAAGCACTGAATAATCTCTTTGTAGGAGAACTAATAGTCTTTCGCTCTCCGGCCTCCCCTAGACCTCTCCACACCAGAGGCAGTTTACTAGGATTTAAGACAATGTCAGAAAATCATAGGTCAATCACAATTCATACTTAAGTAGCTACAATATAAGACTCTGCTTAGCTGGTATCAATGACAAAAACTAAACATTGTGGGCTGCTGGAGCAGCATTCAAATGCAAATGAACACATTCTTTACCTAAAGACTCCTGGCCATTCAGGGCCATTCACCACCATTCACATAAACTTGTTACCATTACCATCTAGTTTCCGCCTCATGGCGGGGAATTTCAAGAGCTGCTTACAATGACTTGGGAAACCAGTTTTTAATTTATCTGCTGCCTCCAGCTACTCAACTCCTGGAGGTGAATGGAGGCAGGGAGCAAACGGGTCCCAGGTGACGAAGGCGGTGCTGCCACCAGAGCACTCAGCTTTAAACAAATTAAAGGTTTCTTTCTTTCTCTCTGCTCGCCTGTGGCCGGGCGAGTAAGATGGACCTGGGAGGTCTCTTTCCCAATTTTTCTTTGTCAAGGAGACAACCACACTCCTTCAATCATTTGGGGTTATCAAAAAGAACATCAATCCAGATATCAGTGTATGGAATTTGGTCCGGATGCCCAGGGCTCCTATAGACTATCCGCCGGACTCCCGTGTAGGGCCCCATGTCTAGGGTCCCTGTTGAAGGCCAATCAACCCCAAATGTCGGCCACTCCAATTCACAGTCTCCGGAGAGTGAAGGCATCTACCGAAACACCATAGCCTTCACCTCGTTTTTTGAAGTCCGGAAAATTTTTAACCATGCATTCAAGGGGACTTAGGTGACTCTCCTTTGAGTTTCCTTGCCCCATTTTTCTCTTTCTTCCCAATTTGTTAGGCAACAAATAATTCCAAAACAAATCCAAAAGAGTAAAAACAAAAACATTGCACTTTTACCAATTCCCACACACTCGATTGCGGCCGCACTCTCTCAACACTCACAAAACACTCACTCAGACCAGAACCAGGGAATCTCCAGACTCCAAACCCAGACAGAGCCAAGGAGTCTCCACTTGAATCTCTTCCACAAACACACGATTGGGGCAGACGGTCGCGGCTGCCTCACTGTCTCAGTAACCAAACCTATCCGATCTTCGCCGGGACTCGAACCCGACACCTGATTGCCGGGACTCGAACCCGACACCTGATTGCCGGGACTCGAACCCGACACCTGATTGCCGGGACTCGAACCCGACACCTGATTGCCGGGACTCGAACCCGACACCTGATAGGAGACCGCCAGGCGCCCCTGGCTCTCCTGCACCCTTGGGGCGTCCCCCAGGGTTGCAGCCTGTGGCCCTCCGACACGTCTACCGACCACTGTTCGGCCACTCTCACGAGTTGCCGAACGGCTGCGAACTCAGAACCAGATCAGATTACAGAAGTGCGCACACAGAACCAGATCAGATAACAGAACACAAGACAAAGACAGACAACTTCGGGGTACCCCTTCTTACCTCCAAGATCGGTTCTGGGCTTGAGGGGGGGGCCGCTCGATCCCGGACGAGCCCCCAGAATGTAAGGCCTGAAAGACCCCCGGTCCAAAGGATGAGCGGCGACCCCAAATCAAACGCAGAGCCCGAGTCTTGATGCAAAGAGCAGGAGGTTTATTCCAAGCGCTGCGCAGGGACCCACAAGCAGCAGTCCAGAAAAAGACTGCCGCTTGAGAGCCCTGAACAGAGGTTAGTTACAAGCTTTTATAGGCAGAAACCACACCCAGGTGGCCTGGGGAAATTGGCAAATTGGCCTGGGGAAATGCAAACATAAGGTTGAGATTGCAATCTCTTGGCCGTTTCCCGGGCAGTTAGAAACAGGCCTGACCTTACACCATCACCAGTCACTTCTATTGTCACCCTTGGAAACCCAGCCCCCCCTGCATGTTGTCAGAGCCAGTACAGGCCCAGAGGGAGCGTGAACCAAGCCAGCTTCACTCCTGATGGCATGACATTAGCACAGTGGTCGGCAAACTGCAGCTCACGAGCCACATGAGGCTCTTTGGCCCCTTGAATGTGGCTCTTCCACAAAATACCACATACAGTGCGATTGAAACTTCTTGGCCATTGTGCAGAAGTCGGTTTTCAGCTCTCAAAAGAAATTTCAATAGTTGTACTGTTGCTATTTGACTCTGTTGACTAATGTGTTTGCCAACCACTGGATTAGCAGACCAGCTGATGGTGTGACAGAGCAGAGAAGTGGGGCCCCCTGGGGAGGACTTCAGTGGAAATGGAAGAAGTGGGGCCACATTTTCTCCACACCAGCACTCTCTTGGGAGGTCTACAATTCCAGGTACAGCTCCCGATGTAAATCGCCCAAACGCAGGGGGGGATGAGGAGGATGGGTTGCAGTGGATAATGTTTACTCTGGTGCACCAAGTGGGTTGTTATCCACGGCCTATCAGGATGTAGCCCCCGCCCCTTCTCTGACTTCCTCCCTATCTCTCTCCCCTGGCTCCTTTGGCTTCAGCCTCACTAGCTTTCTTCTTACTCCTCAAACACATCAAATGTGCCTCAGGGCCTTGCCCTTGCTGTTTTGTCTGTAGAAGAGTCTTCTCTCAGATATCCAAAGAACTCTCTTCCTTTCATTTCTGCTCAAACATCACCTTTTCAGATAGTGACCTGACCTCCCCATATACAATTCATTCCCTCCTTCTGCTTCATTTTCTCTAGACATTCATCACCACCTGAGCGTGTGTGTGTGTGTGTGTGTGTGTGTGTGTGTGTGAGAGAGAGAGAGAGAGAGAGAGAGAGAGAGAGAGAGATCCATGGCCCTAAGAGAACACAGATTCCATGAAAACAAACTAGGTTTTGCTTGTTTCTGGAACAATGCCTGACACACAACAGCACTCAGAGTACTTACAGAATCAAATTGAATTCTCCCCGCTTAGTCTCCGAATGATTTCCTTCTGAATTGGGCCAGCGGTTTCCCTTTTTGCTGTTCCTGTTCTTTGTTTTCTGGACCCATAAATAAAATATGGAATGCGCTGGTTCTCATAGTCACGGTGCGATCACAGCCCTGGAGACGGGGCTTCACCTCTGTTCCTGCCGCCCCAGGGTGACTCCCCCATACCGCACACTTTCCCCGCTCATTCTCTGCCACCCCTCCCACCCCTGCTGGTGCCGTGTTCCCCACCAAGTAAGAACTTCCTCCTGCTCATCTCAATCCCACTCAAACTACACCCTACGTGACTTTTTTCGTTCTGTTCACTGGATTCTCCATTCTCCGAGCCCAGGTGTCTTTCACATCATTAGCACTGAGCGTTTAAAATGTGCTCATCTCGTTGTGCTCATCAGACTGTAGCTCCTCAGGGACACACAGCATGCCTCCCACATCTCCTGCCTCCTCCTGGCAAAACACCATGCCTGGAGACAGTGCTTTCTCTTTCTTGCTGATGTGGCTCCCGCTACCTTTTTGCAGGTGCGGCTTAGATCTCTCTAAGTGAGCTCAGGAAAAGCCTGGGGAAGAGGAAGTCTAAGACAGACATGTGCCTATTTCGTCAGTTAGCATTCATTAAGGGCCCAGCCAGTCAGAAGACAAGTTCTGGAATCACAGAACACCGAGCTGGAAGGAACCTTGGAAGGCATCTGGTTCAAGTGCTGGTGTCAGTTAGGGTACTGACTAGTAGCTGCAAGCAATGGCAACTGACATGGGCTTCCCTAGGCAGGAAAGGAATATATTAAAAGGATAGTGGGGGAGTTGGAGAATGGGGCTGGAGCTCTGCAAAGCCCATCATCATGGTCAGGGGAATACTGTTGCCACTCTCAAGGGGCACTGGACTTCATGGCTTGTACTTCCTGTTTGTGATACTCCCAGGAGGAGCCTCCATTGTCTTGCTTTTTGTTTTTGTTTTTAAATATATTTTATTGATTTTTTAAAGAGAGGAAGGGAGAGAGAGGGATAGAGAGTTTGAAACATCGATGAGAGAGAAACACTGATCAGCTGCCTCCTACTGGGGATGTGCCCACAACCAAGGTACATGCCCTTGACTGGAATCGAACCCGGGACCTCTGAGTCTGCAGGCAGGCGCTCTATACACTGAGCCAAACCGGTTTTAGCTGTCCTTGCTTTTTTGACTCAGATTCTGACTCAGATTCTGATTGGAAGATTCTATGCCACCAGTCTCCACTCCAGCTAAAAAGGAGGGCAGGGCCGAAACCGGTTTGGCTCAGCGGATAGAGCGTCAGTCTGCGGACTGAAGGGTCCCAGGTTTGATTCCGGTCAATGGCATGTACATTGGCTGCAGGCACATCTCCAGTAGGGGGTGAGCAGGAGGCAGCTGATCCATGTTTCTCTCTCATCGATGTTTCTAACTCTATATCCCTCTCCCTTCCTCTATGTAAAAAATCAGTAAAAATATTTTTTAAAAATAAAAATAAAAAAATAAAAAGGAGGGCAGGAAACAAGTATATTTTCTCACTAGAAGTCCAGTGCATGGGTGGAGTCCCTAGGCCTGGCTGGCAACCAGGTTCACTGCCTCCTCCTTCTTTCACCCACATCCTCCACCACCCACCCCTAGGTCCCCATCCCAGCCCAGAGCCCGGCTGGGGGAGGGGAGGGATCAGGAGGTTGGCCAGCCGGCCCCCATCAGGCGATCTGGGCCTGCCAGCCGAGGGGAGGGACAAGGGAAGGGCCTGGGTTGTTGACCGCCCACCCCAAGGAGGGAGCCGACCCTCAGTCCCCCTTGGAAAGGGGCAGTATCCACTGCCACTTAGTCCAGGGTCCCAGCCCTAAATGGGTGATCAGAACCTGCTGGCCAGGGGGAGGGACTGGGAGGTTGGCCAGCAGGCCCCATCAGCAATCGGGGCCTGCAGGCTGGAGGCAGCTCCTGTGTTGAGCATCTGCCCCTGGTGGTCAGAGCATGTCATAGCAACCAGTTGTTTCAGTTGTTCTGGTCATTCTGGTCATTCCATCATAATGGTTGCTTAGGCTTTTATATAGATAGATAGGTTCTTTGGTGAGATGTGAGCTCCACTTTAGACCAAAAATGTTTAGATGAGGGATTCATCAAATGGAGAAAGGGATTCAAAGACAAATGTCCAATTACCCTTCATATTACAGTAGAGGCAACAGTGATCCAGAGATGAATTGATTGACCTAGGTCACGTCATAAATCACAAGGGGCTAGGACAGCAGCCCAGGTCTCCTGACTCCATTTCTTATATTCTTTCCACTCATCAAAGTATAAAAGAAGCAACTAATGTGAAAATTAATCAAGGAAACCTCAACTAAAATTGGAGTTGGGAAACCTGTAGAGACAGTTCTCATGGCCTGCCACTCATCAGTTACCCAAACAGGAAGAGGTCAATTGCAGACCCCAACAGGAGGAGATGTACCTTGTACCTTGCACTCCCAAACAGGAAGTGCAACTACTTTACTACCCCAACAGGAGGAAGATTTTCCTCCTGCCCAGCAACAATCCCAACCAACTGAAACACCACAGCTCAGCCAATAAGAAGCTGTAGTCACCTGAACTCTTGCTTTCCTTCCATAAAACTTCATTTTGCTCTTACAGATGGCTTCCTTGTCCAACCCTTCTTTCTATCAAGCCTGGGAGTATCTCTCTGCTTGCTAGATAAGATGCTGCCTGATTCATGAATCATTTAATAAAGCCAATTATATCTTCAAATTGACTCAGTTATATTTTGGTTATTAACACAAGTTCAAAAGTTAGAGGCAAAGCAGGACAAACCCTAGGAAGCAAATGGTCAATGATTTGTGTCCCTGGCAGCTATGTCAGGTAATTACTGTCTCTTTGATTTCATCACCACTGTTTTTCAACGTTTACTTCTCACAATAGACATTACCTCCTCTAGGGCAGCTCTCCTGAATCACCACACCCATTGGTTCCCTGAATTAACTCGTCCCCAGCCATTACTATTTATGTTGCAATATCAACATATGTGTCTGCTTCCTCACCAAGCTGAGAGCAACTCGAAGTGCAGTACTCACCCAGAATGTATTATGGAGCAAGGGACCATCATGAAGGTGCACTGGGAGCACTGGAGGCAGTCACATTGATGACAGTCTCCTGTCCCTATAACATCGACACCATCCCTCCCTGGGTCAATACTATTCCTGCCTTTTATCTCACGT